TTGCAAGACAGAGGAAGCGGATGAGAAAACCCAAACGTTTCAAAAGGAAAGGAAATCGACATTGAAAACCTGACCCCTTGCCTCCCCTTCCATGCCCATTCACTAGGAGCCAGTCACATCCTCCGATTCTCCCGTGTTTGGTGGGAAACCTTGCAGATCTCTCCCCACCATCCCCTCCGCTCCCACTGCTGTCACACTGCGTTGCCTGGATCCTGCTAAGTTTCCTCTGGGAGTTTCCTCAAATTGTTCAGGTTGCATTCGCGGTAGGCGACTCTCCCCTCCCCTCCTTCTCGCCCTCCCTGGGAGCAGCTGGGCGATACGTGGCGTCTATGCTTTCACCATGTATTATTAACACTTACAAACAGGATCTGACTCCAGGCAGTGCTTGTGCCACTGGATTACTTCCTAATCCAAGCAGTAAAGCGATGCCCCTGTCTGCTTGCCCCATTTTATTATTATTTTAGACAGAGGAAGCTGGTGTGTTTTAATTGGTGATTTTCCAAATGACTGCCTCTATTCCTAGCCTGCAAAAGAAACATGCCTCTTTAACCAGTATCAATAACCCTGGGTCCGGCTGCAATCCTAACCCCAATTTACTTCAGGTTGAACCCAACTGAATTAAACAGGATTTACTTCTGAGTAAAACATGGTTAGGATTGCTCTCTTGAGTTTTCCTTCAGGAAAACAACAACAACAACAACACATACACCTTTTTTCTTTCAAAATACCCTACACTTTTCCTCTGTCGATTCTTTTTCAGTATTCCCTAAACTATTTCTGGTATCTGTGAAACTATTTCTTCTTTTAAAGTAGCTTTTTCCCTGAGCTTTTATGAAACACATTTTCACTTGGACTTTTCGAAAAGAGCTGCAACGGATATTGCCACAATGTGAAATGACAGCAACCACAATGAGGATTGTGATGATGATGATGATGATGATGATGATGATAATAATAATAATAATAATAATAATAATAATAATAATAAATAATCTCCACTGTGGATTGGGAAGGGGAGGGAAGACAGTGATATTCCTGGGAGAAATTAGGCAGTGAGAACCAGGAACTTGCAGACAGCATCCCCAGCTGCAAAAGAGAAGCACGTGCCAACAAGACAAGTGTGTACACACACACACCCCCTATCACTGCACCATGAAAAATGTCATCTCCATTTGTATATTGCAGCACAGGGTGTTTGGGGAAAGGGGTGTCATTCAATATGGGGCAGCACCAGAAGCACATAACAACCCCCCAGATATTCATTTTATGGGACACAGCTACTTTGTAGCCTCAGTGTGAAACTATAATCCAGTTCACATAAGATTCTCATGTGTGCTCATGGAGGATAAGGCTATCCCACATGGATTTGAACTGCTTGTGAAACACACACACATACCAATCCATTCTTCAAGGGACTTAAGATGAATTATGCCCTGAAAGGTATGGCACCGCCACCACCACAATGTGCAGGGGTTCTAGCAAGTATGGAAGTGCCATGCATCACCACTGCCACAGACTCCTGTGGAATTATTAAACACACCTGTCCTTGAACCATAGCACCAAATAATATCCACGTGCAAATGCAAGAGCAGCAAGTTCCTACCAGTACCGATCAGCCATGCAAAATGCATCTTCCACCATCCATCGCCACCACCCCGCCGGGGGCTGTAATAGTGTTCTTTAATAGAGCACTCTGTACATAAAACTGCAGGAGCCCTTTTACTTCCTAGAGGTGCACTGTAGGTAATGAAGCTTTTGGAACCCCATGCCTGCTGGGCTCAAATCTATGCCAGCTCTGTGGAATGACACTCCAGAGAGTGACTGAGGACAGGAAATGCAGGCTCTGGCTTTCATCCATGTCATTGCAAGGAATGAACATGATGGCATGACCATGTTGCACTTGTGCCCAATAATTCTTCTGCACACCCACCCACCCACCCTTGTTCTCAATCAGGTTTTGTACACTCTGATGCTTAAATGCTTCCAAGCTTATAAAACATGAAGTAGCGCTGGCTATTGTAATATAACATAATGGCAGCAATCACAGCTTGGGAAACGTGAGTTAAGAGGTTTCTGAAGGGCCCATCAAGCTGGCGAGGTTGCTATTTTCACACTACGCACAAGGTTACCAGGAAAAACAAAAGCAGCCCTTCTCTGGCCTTCTCAGGAGCCTAGCATAACATGAAAGTAACCTTCCTCCAACTCCCTTAGGAGTGCACAGAGAACAGGGGAGATGGGGTGAGATTTCTCCCATCCCACCGGGAAACTGGGAGATTGTAGGAGTGTGATGCAAAGGTGAGGAAGGGTGCTGGGACACCTGGAAGGGATAAATAAATGTCCTCTCTCCCTAATATCTTTCACTGGGTAAGGGACTGACTCCCTGATGGATCTTACCTGATGCCCCCCACCACCAAAAAAAAAAAGAATCCTGGAACCAGCCTTTCAGTTTCATAAAGGCAGAACAACATACTCCAAAGCCAAGGACTGAGAAGCCAGCAGATTCCTGGACAGTTTGGGCACAATCAAGGTTTTGCTTTTCCTTGGCAGTTCGAATGTTAAAAGGCTTTCCAGCCCATGGTAATGAAGCCAGCATTTGGAAACCTACGTGATCAGGAGATACATAGCCATACCTTCAGCAGAGACTGGAGTAACATAAAATAAAATACACACAGTAAAAGGGGAAGCAAAGCTGCCTGTTTGCTGCAACCGGTCTCACTGGCCAATGCCTGCATTTGGAGCCTTTTACGTTACTGTTGCAGATATTGCCTGCACCAAGGGAAGGAAACCAGGCTGCCAGGCTGGCTTCTGCCCATCGTTACTCCACATTGCATCAGTAGCTACACCTCCCAGAAGGGACCGTTTCACTCTACCAAAACCACACAAGTCTGGTGCAAGGGATTTACTAAAGGGTGCAGATTCCCATTTCAAATATTGCAACTGTATACAGAGTGGAATGGGGGGGGGGAGAGATACAGGAGAGAGGTGGCAGAATTGTGGGGGAATAGAATGGATATCTACCTCGTGGCATAAACTGGTGCAGAAACATCCAAACCTTTTATGTAGGGTTCCATCCCAAGAGCTTCTTAGCATCACAGAGCAATTGCAAGGTATATGTCACATGCCCTTCCCACTAAACACACCAACATTTTAATTGTGTTCTGCATGAGTTTACTGCTGCTCCATGAAATCTGCATGCTATATGTTATGTACTGAGTTGAATAGGATCCAAAATGCAGCAGTTTGCTTGGTCCTAGAACAATAGGCTTCAGAATGCAGTAGTCTGATTGGTCCTAGAACAATAGGCTTCAGAATGCAGCAGTCTGATTGGTCCTAGAACAACAGGATCCAGAATACAACAGTCTGATTGGTCCTAGAACAATAGGATCCAGAATACAGCAGTCTGATTGGTCCATGAAATCTGCATGCTATATGTTATGTACTGAGTTGAATAGGATCCAAAATGCAGCAGTTTGCTCGGTCCTAGAACAACAGGCTTCAGAATGCAGCAGTCTGATTGGTCCTAGAACAATAGGCTTCAGAATACAGCAGTCTGATTGGTCCACAGGAGCCACCCAATCCAGCTCCAGGTGGAAGTGAATCCTCAACCTGATTGGCCTACAGGAGAATCCCGGAATTAGCCAATCACGGGAGGCCCATTGTGTAAATAATGTATATAAAGCAGACATCCTGGGGGGGGGTGGTGGATTCCATTCCTCCTCACCACTATGAGCTGAATAAAGAGCATGAAATCCACTCTTGACTCTGAGTATATTTCACTATACTAGCAGAGGGTGCATGGGCATCTTAATTTGACATGGCAAGTTAGCAGCTGTCCATGATGGGTGGGGTCGCATCTATGATGCAACATTAATGAAGAGCAAGGCCGAACATTTTTTCATCTTGGATACAGATAAGGGGGAAGCAGGTATGAACTAATTAGAGAACACTTCTTCGATTAAATGAACCCCCCCCCCATGTTTTGCAATTATTATTTTTAAATGAGAAGGCCAGGCTTCCCATTTGAATCTCGGAGCATTGCTAAGCCATCTGTCTGCATTTATCCAAGGCGCTGCTGACTCAGTGCCTGCCACTCTTGATGCTTCCCGTTATCTGCCTGCCTACCCAGCTTCACTTACACGAGTCAAAATTAAAACGGGTAAGTGTCCCAGAATGAAGAGGAGGAAAGACAAGCCTGATGACAGACACATTCTTACATACAAGCCTTATCTGGTGCTTGCATCCTCTCCCCCAGCACACATGATGTCCTTCCCATCAGCACTTAATAATAATAATAATAATTCAGAGGTGGAAGTGTGGGGTGGAGGAGGAAGGGGTGGAGAATGGGAAGAACACAACGTAGAGATGCCAGATGTCCCGTAATGCATTGGGCCAGATAACTTGGCAAAAGCAACAAAAAGAAAACAACGAAAAGGGGAGGATGGTAGATCCTAGTCCAAGAGAGAGAATAGCATTCTTGTATTGCAGTCTGTGGGTACCTAGCAGTTCGAAAGCACATCAAAAGTGCAAGTAGATAAATAGGTACTGCTCCGGCAGGAAGGTAAACGGCATTTCCATGTGCTGCTCTGGTTTGCCAGAAGTGGCTTAGTCATTCTGGCTACATGACCCGGAAGCTGTACGCCGGCTCCCTCGGCCAATAAAGCGAGATGAGCGCCGCAACCTCAGAGTGGGCCACGACTGGACCTAATAGTCAGGGATCCCTTTACCTTTTTAAATGCAGCCTGTGGGTACATCTATGCATTACTTGACCATCTGTTCTGATAGTGTGGCACAGGGAATCTGTGCTACTGGACAACAATGTACCGTCATTCCAGACCACTGGCCATATTGGCTAGAGGATGATGAGAGCTGGAGTCCAACAACATCGGGAGGTCCACAGTTTCCCCATCCCTGCAAACTACATATGAGATAGTGTTTTTCCAACCTAGCCTTTTCCTTGACATGCTAGTTTTCTGAAAGTGAGGACAGCTTTTATTTTTTTTGGTATGGAGACAGGGATGGTTGGGTCTGGCAGTTTCTAGTCCATGCAAATTTTGCATCGTAAGTTCTGTTCCTGCATTAAACTGCATTTTAAAAAAATCCAAACAGAAAATAATATTTAAATACTTGTCTATCTCAATGTATTAGTTCCAAACTTAATTTATCCTAAAATATGCGTGTTAGGATGTTAAACACATGCCTGCGTATTTTTTTGAATGGAGAACTATATTGCGAAATTCAGACAAATGGGAAATCCAAAGGATAATTGTGCTTCAGTCTGCAGATTAGGAGGTGGCGATCATGCCAGTTTGCCTTGGAATTCACAGAAAAGTATTTTCTCAAGCACTCCCAATATGGAGGAGCATGGGGAAGCATGTGAGCTCCCACCCACCTGAAGTGACATACATTTCACACTTGGGCCAAAGGTTTTGCAGAATTTTTAATAGCCATTCAAGCATTATTGATTCAATAGTGGGGGTTGTTGTTTTGTTTGTTACTATGGTATGCATTTATGTGTTTTTATATTGTACGCAACCCCATGATCCTCAGATGAAGGGCAGTATAAAAATTTAATAAATAAATAAATTTCAAATGCAACAAAATTGCATACATATCTGATTTTTTTTTACCACCTCCAGATCAAAGTGATCATGATAAGTTGATCAACGACTTGTTATGATTTTATTTTATTTTATTTTCAGAACTATAAACAAACTGGACAGTGATCAGTTTTGCAGTAAAGTATCAGGAAGAGCAGAAATGGGGCTTGTAGAATAGGTTCAGGTATTTATCATTGAAGAGCTAAAATACCTGGGACACGGTCTAAACAACCTTCCCCCACCTTGATATTTTCCAAATCCTTCAGCCTACAATGTCCAGAAGTTCCAGCCAACATGGGCAGGGATGGTGGAGTGTACACATTTTCAAACATTTTTGGTAACTGCATCTATGCACATTGTTTAGTTGAGAACTAAAAACGGTAATACAGTTGTACCTCAGAAGTCGAATGGAATCTGTTCTGGAAGTCTGTTCGACTTTCAAAAAGTTTGGAAGCCAAGGTGCGGCTTCCGATTGGCTGCAGGAAGCTCCTGCAGCCAATCAAAACCCATGGAACCCGTGCCAGGCATTCGGGTTCCAAAGAACATTCGCAAACCAGAACACTCACTTCTGGGTTTGCGGTGTTTGGGAGCCAAAACGTTTGACTCACAAGGCGTTCGATTTCTGTGGTACGACTGTACTCTCATTCTCCTAAAATACAGAATGGTGTGATTTAACTTTCTCAGGCTCATGTCTCTGTATTCAGTTTTAGCTCCCATGTGAATTCAGGCCTGTGTGTGCCCCTTCTCTAACAGGAAACCTAATTTGGACCAGTCTGCCTGCTCAGATTACAGCCTGTGCCTGCGAGTACGACAATAATGAAAAGCCAGCAATGGTTGTCATTTTCTAGTGGACATTAGCCATTAAGATCTAATAAAAGGTGATTTGCCAAGCTAAATCTGCCTCCATAGAGACAGAAGTCTCTGTAGCAGTGAAATAATGGGTGACTGGCAAGTCATGAAATTGGGTGTTAGTCCGTGACAGCGAGGAGCCTGTCAAACTAGGACTTCATCTCACAATCTTTCATATAGTGAAGAAGTCAGGTTAGGAACTAGATAACATAGATGATTTTTTTAACACAAGTTAGCAAACTCTCTCCAAAGGAAAAGGAAAATTGACCCTGGCACCGCAGAACTCAGGAGAAGCAACATTTTGATTTGGTTTCATTCACAATGGCTGCAATTTCCAGCAAGCTGACATGTCCGCGCAATGCAACAGGATCTAACCGAGGGCAATTTTCTGATGTTCTATTCCATGCCAAACCTCGGTCTAAATCGGTTTTCCAAGCTGGGCACTTTAAAAAAAGCAGTGGATAAAGGGGGACAAATCAACCAAGATGGATGCAGGGATATAAAAGTACCAAAAGAATCAATCTGCTCAAACAATGTCTGGCTTCTGATCTTTTTCTCTTTTTCTAACTACCCGCTGCCCTAAGAACTAGAAATATATTTTTTGAAGTAAAAATAAAAGCGGAGGTTCCAAAGCCCAACTTTGTGCCAGACACATGGGATGGATGTTTGTGGTCCAGTTCGGAACCTGCAAAGTTATCCCTGCTGAGCATCCCAGTGGAAGTGGTCGCATGGAGGAAGCAATGTCTGACTCAGAATGACCACACTGATGGGTGTTTGGAAGACTCAGTATGGAAAACATTATAGCATCTGAACCAAGCCTATAAGCCAGACAGTTCAACTCCTGCCCCAAGGCAGGATACCCTCTATTTAAAGCAGCCACCTAACATTTATGGCCTCCCCCTGCTAAAGCCCACAATGGCTGATATTTGCTTTCTTCAGCATGGCCCCCTTTGAAGCCTATAACTCTGCCGATCTGTTTTGAGACAGAACGCAAATGGCACCACAGAAACCTCATCCTATTTTAGCAGCCTCTCAAGGAATACACGAGGCCCCATTTCCTCTGCTAATGCTATAATCTGGCTGTGGCTGTATGACATCGTATTGATGGCTCTTGATCCAGAATGCTGGGTTTTATTGGAAGCATAAATGCTGATTGGCTGGAGCTGAGGTTTATTTTGTGTGTGTGGCGATGAAACTATTACTGCTGGAGCTGAAAGCAGGGCCAGCACCATGACAAAATGGCCCAAGTCATAGGTTGTATATATACGTATATATTTATTACAGGGGGACGCAGGTGGCGCTGTGGGTAAAACCTCAGTGCCTAGGACTTGCTGATCGTATGGTCGGCGGTTCGAATCCCCATGGCGGGGTGAGCTCCCGTCGTTCGGTCCCAGCTCCTGCCCACCTAGCAGTTCGAAAGCACTCTTAAGTGCAAGTAGATAAATAGGTACCGCTTTATAGCGGGAAGGTAAACGGCGTTTCCGTGTGCTGCGCTGGTGCTGGCTCGCCAGCTGCAGCTTCGTCATGCTGGCCACGTGACCCGGAAGTGTCTTCGGACGGCGCCGGCTCACGGCCTCTAGAGCGAGATGAGCATGCAACCCTAGAGTCGGACACGACTGGCCCGTACGGGCAGGGGTACCTTTACCTTTACCTATTTATTACAGGCACACAAAGCTTCTATCAAAGGCCAACTCAGTGCCAGTTCTGTCTAAAACTGTTTGCAGCAAGAATATACCTATATATCAGAACACACATGCATAGCACTCTTTGTCCCCTTTGAAATATCATAGCCACAATTTTCCAGGCACATAATGCCCTATAGAAAGGAAATTTGGGATGACTGTACACACAGACAAATAAGAAGTAGGAATGAGAATGGTCCTCAGTGTGCATGTGTGATCCCATTGTTTGGTTTATTCCCCGCCCCCGCCCCCCCAGTTACAGTATTAGACACCTTTCTGCTAAATAAGCTTTTAAAGGGACTTACAAAAAACAATACAAAATATACATGCTCCTCCCATGTTAATTAACTTGGGCTCATGCTGCTACTCTTCAGAGGCCTCAGGAGGAACAGCCAGCTGTTCAAGGAGTGCCCTGACTTCCTAGCTCTTTTGGAAGGTGGCAGAACCCAGAGAGTCACTTGCAGTCTCTTCAGCTGCCTGAGGTTGAATGCCTGGCCATTAAACAGTCATGGAAGAGAAGCGCACATCGTCCTCAAATAAATAGTTCTCAGCTGCAGATGAGAAGAGACAGACTGGCAACCACTCTGGAATCTAATGAGCACGAACGAAATCACTTCACTGCTGATAACACAAGCAAGCAATTATATTAATGAACAAACCAAAAAGCCAGCCCCGACCTCCTGTGGTTTACACGGCACCGGAATCAGCTGTGTGTCACAAGCTGCATCGAGTAAGTCCCTGTCACACTCACACACAAAAAAACATTTCTGTTTATGGTTCCATTTCCCAGTGTGCACGTCTCCTCTGCTCTGCTGACCTGCTTCTGTTCTATTCCATCTCCAGCTTTTCTTCTTCAGCTGGTCCTCCAATTATCTTCCACAGACCTCTTCTCCCTTTACATTTTCATAACACACGTCCTACGATCTTCCATGAACATGCATTGTGTACCTCTTCATGTAAGGACATTCTGGATCCCTCCTAGATCAGACCAAAGGCCTGTTTAGTTCTGCATCTTGTTCTCACAGTGGCCTATATGTTGCCTACGGGAAGCCCAAAATTAGAGCTTGAGTGCAACAGTGCCCAGCAACTGCCTCTAATAACTTCCTTGACTTTGCTTGTTAATCATGCTGCCTTTTTCTTGGCCCTGCAGGGACCTTTCCTGATCAGTGGTATACATTCCAGCTGAGTTTCAATAACTGTGGTTTTGAACAAGCATTCTGAAGATATAATACATGTCATCCTGGCAATCAGTTCTAATGAGACCTTCCCCAATATTTACTCTTGGACGTGGGACACCTTTACCCCAGTAAAGGTGTTTTTCACAACTCTCAGATGGTCAAAGACTCTGTGGATTCGTTTGTTGGCCCCATTAGATGTTCCTTCCTAGATGCCTCTTGTTCTACTGGCATTCCATCTTTTCCCTTATTGGCATTCCACCTGAGGTCACCTTCTCCTGCAGGCTTCTCTCACAATCCCTTTTGCAATTCACCAAGCTCCTGCCACGAACATCCATCAGCCGCCTTGCCCCTTTGTAGGCCATTCTGTACCATCTCCAGCTGCCTCTCTGCACTTTCCTCTCTGGTTCTTCTGCACAACTCAATTTTAATTGTGTCTTATATTAGTTTGCCTGTTTTATTGACCCGTTAGCTGTCCTGGGAACAGCAGTGCTGAAGGGCAGCATGTACATTTAATGCATTAAAAAAAACCTGGCCTCTCCAAACTCTGACTCACCTCTGCAGCATCCAGCTGTCAGTGTGGGGATGAAACACCTCAATATGCCACCCACATGTAAAATCTACTGCATATAGGCCAGGAAAAGATCTGGTAATCAGCTTCCTCATTTTGGCCTATACAGATTGGATTTTGCAAGCAAGGCCACTTTTGAATGTGATGTCCCCCTCCATGTTGGTAGCTCGGATTGTGGAGGTGGGTCCAGTGTGCTGGTTAGGTGGGGGTGGGGTGCTTGTGATCCCCAACACACGATAGGTCCAATCAGGGTAAAGCATCATCCAATTCATCTCTGTTATATAAACAGAAGGATATACAGGGTTAAGTACTTAATTCGTTCTGGCGGTCCGTTCTTAACCTGAAACTGTTCTTAACCTGAAGCACCACTTTAGCTAATGGGGCTTCCTGCTGCGGCTGTGCCGCTGGAGCACGATTTATGTTCTCATCCTGAAGCAATGTTCTTAACCCGAGGTAATATTTTTGGGTTAGCGGAGTCTGTAACCTGAAGCATATCTAATCTGAAGCGTATGTAACCCGAGGTACCACTGTACACAAAAGAATGCACAATCAGTTTCCTTGTTGTTAGCCTAGAAACAAGGAGCCTGCAACAAGCAAAGACCTCATGTGCCCTGTGGAGACATTAAAGTTCTGAGGCTGAGTTTACACAAGGCCTGTATATGTGTTCTTCCTAACCCTGAAAGGGTGCCACTGTTTCCATGCTTAAAAAGCAGAGACCAAGACCCAGCTCTTGGCCAAGATTAAATAAGACAAGGGCATCCATTCAACTCATTGTTTTCTGTAAAGCTCACTGCAGAGCAAGGCACTCATATTTACACAGCAAAGGAGGGTGGGCCAAGATTGGGGTCAACAACACAGAACGCAATTTTCCCTACCTTATAGAAACAACTTAACATATAGGGATGTTTTTGCTTCCATTGCTAACCAAACTTTAAATCTCCAAATACAATTGGGATAGTATAGGACAAGGTTTGCTAACCTGGTGCCCTCCAGATGTTTTCGACTACAACTCCCATCATCTGGAGGGTGCAAGGCTGCTGAAGGCTGGTATAAAAGAATCAAATCCAGTTCTCCAGTGAGAATTTGGTTGGCTTTCAATCCAGGCCTTTCCCCCAAGTACTTGAAAAGCTGCCATCTTTCTATGTGAAGATGAAGATAAGACTACTAGTCTGTTTTCTCTCCCACTGCCCCAACACACACACTTTCCCACTCCTCCTCTGCCACTGCCGCTGCATGGAAAGAGCTTCTACAGGCAATTAGAGGAATCTCAAGTAAGACAGTGTCAAAAGCAGGCAGGCTTCCACTACATTACAGCTATAGAGTTGCTGTGGCAGAGATAGCAGATGACACACAGGCGGACAGGATGTCAAACGAGGACACTGCCCAGAATGAGGCTTCCTAAGAGCTATTTACCAAAAGCACAGGAGCCTCTGGGAGGCATTGGCAAAAGCAGTACCTGGAAGGCAGTTCTTAAAGGAGCGGCTTCAAGATTAGGATCCTCAGAATGAAAGAGGCAGGCATCCTCACCAGGGATCTGGAGAAGAGAGACACTGCTTCTTCAAATCTCACCTTCCCAGGCTAAAGTATCTTCACTGGATAGATTAACTTTATCCTAATCTGTTCAAGGGTCAGACAGGATGATAACACTGGCACAGTATCTGTGCCCTCAAGTGCAGGGTTTGGTGGTTGTTGTTCTTTTTTTAAAAAAACAACAACCTCAAATTGCCAGCACAAGTCCCGTGATCTGAATCAGGACCACAGTCCCACTAGGGTTCAGCGAATCAGTCCATTTCAGCTTCTGCCCATTTCTCGTTTTTGCAGTCTGAAGTTCAGTTCCCCACATACCCATGCCAACCTGAGAATTTGGTTTTAAAAAAGAAAGAAAGAAAAGAAGTCCTTGCGAAAATTCACCATACCTTTTGCAATTACCCCCAAATAATGCATTTTTGCATGATAGTGAAAACATGATCATTATTTTTTAATGGTCACTTTACCCAATTGACACACATTACTTGGCAATGTAGAATTGCATTGCAAAATTCAGAGAACTGCAAATTTTGAAGGATGGCTGTGTTTTGGTTGTATCGTGTGTGTTTTTATGGAACTATGAATGAAGTAGGTTGCCTTTAAAGATGAACTGAATTGAATTTCTCACACATCCCTATCTCCCCTACTGAGGCACTGATCTAAACCAGGCCTCTCACAATGGCAAATCAAGAGTGGAAGGGGGTGGAACCCTGAAGAACTTGTGTACCTTTAGCTTCTCTTTACTGGTTTTATTTATTTCATTTTACTCTCAATAAAACCTGTTACCTGCTTTTCAAAGTCCAAGATTTTATCCAAGGTGGCTTACAACATCTGGTAGCTATTGTTGATGGGACACTGTAGCATTATGGCAGAAAACCCCCTCATCTCTACACACAAAGGCCAAGGTATCCACTTTCAATCTGAAAGCAGACACTTTCCTCTGAAAAACATACCCAGCCCCAGAACTACTTACTGTGAAAATTTAAACACCAAGAAAAAGCTTGCCACATGAAACTTCAGCTATCCTTGTTGCGCTGTCCTGGGAGAAAAGGAACGTGGCGGAGTTCTTCCATAAAGCAGAGGTTGGGGAACCTTTGGTCCTCCAAATGTTGGCCCATCTATCATTCCTGGCTATGGGCCATGATGGCGGGGCAAGCCACACCTGCTGAAATCTCTTCCACACAACCATTAAAGGTACAGGAGCCTTGTCTTCTTTTTCACCTGACGACCCTTACCTATAGTTCAAGCAAAACCAGATTGGATGGGTCTAGCAGACCACTGAAGCCTCCACCCTCACTGCGATTTAGATTCCTTTTTTAAAAAAAATACTGAAGAAGCAATAAATATCCTCTTCTTTGCTGCCCCTACTGCCAAGAGAATGATCTCAAGGCCTGCAGTGGACTGATGAACAGGATGCAGTTGTCAGAATTTGCACATGAAATAGGCAGGTCGAGAAAGATGGGCTGCAGGCTTTCTAAAGGAAATGTTGAGAAGGGGCCTTTTCTGTGCAGCACAGTTGAAAGTGCAGGCACCTGACGGCACGACACAAAACTTGAGAATGTGAGTGTGAGAGAGTCGAGGGCTCTTCTGCGTTTCATTATTCTCCATGCACCCATTTGTGGAAGCAATAAGAATGCAACTGTGCACTTGTGTGGCACCGAGGACATGCAGCCTGCACATGCTTTTCAGTGCACAGGCTGGTGTGCATGTGCATGCAGCCAAGTGCCTATCTGTCTCGCTCTCTCTGTGTGTGCTTTAAAAAGCTATGAAGGTGTAAAGAAATGGATCATATTCCAGGAAAATGCACAGCAGTGTGGCTTCTGCCAGTCCACTGGGGCCCATTATACTAACAGCGTGTCCATTCAGTCTGATATATAAATTACTAATGTAAATTAATGGATAATTGAAGCCCTTTAGTCCTAAATATTTAAATAATTTAATGGGCAATTAAGAGAGGGGAGGGCAGGAACAAGGGAGAAAGAGAATCTTTAACTCCATAAGTAGAAGATGCTGTCTTGGGGTTGGAGGAGAGAAAAACAGCTGTCACATGTCTTGAACTGATCCTGTCTGTTGGCATGCTGATTGCCAGTTCTGGAAAAAGCATCTTGCACCAGGGTTGGAATTTTAAAAAATAAAATAAAATAAAAATATTTAGGAGCTATTCGATGACACCACACTGAAAATAAAACTGTATGCTTTTCCTAGGCACCAGCAGCAGAGTTTTAGAAGCATACACAACCAGATAGTGGGGGTTTGTTTCTCTTGTGAATAATATTCAGCTCCCTCTGAATAATAATAAAGATTCCATCCTGCACACAGAGAGAAGTTTGGCAGGTGCAACTTTCCTCACAAAAGCAGCAGGATGCCGTGAGAAGATTCACCTGTGACATTACCCTCCCTCTTCCTGCTTATGTAGGAAGGTCTTTAAGAAATGGGAACACTTTCTGGGATGGATCCAGT